TGGGTGGGTGGGAGAGGTTTTTGCTATAGGGCGTGTGCACTCACCAGAGAGACAGAGAGACAGAAAGCGAGAAATCACCTCCCAGAGAGGATGGCCACGCTGCAATCCCTTCTCCTCCATTCTCCTCTCGGGATCTTGGGCATGCACGCACACGTGCCTGGCGTGAGTTTAAGCTACCGGGTCCGGGACTCGAACTGCAGTTGACTATGTGGGAGTCCAGCAACATAGCCATTATACCAACTGCTGGTCCCCCCTTCTTCCTTTCATAAAAGAGACAGACAGACAGATAAGCACCGACAGGATCCTCACACCACAATCCCTTCCTGCCTCATTCAGTCTGGATCACAGTCATATGGGTGTCTAATGCATGCAGGGAGAAACTAGGACCTGGCCGTGTAGCTTCGTCATGCCGAGCCTTTCATTATTATTGTGCTCCTGCAGCGGGGTGCTGCCTGACTTCTTGTCCACTTTTTCCTTGAAACTTCCTTGTTTCCTGTTTGTTAGATCGATTTCCTACTTTTCTGTGTTCACACAGAACATCATTTGCTTTCTTGGTATGTATGTTGTGTGACATTTAAAAGCACTCTTAACTTGCAGTTTGCTTCTTGAAATCTACAGTTAAGGAATAATGCAGTTTAAAATACTCTTGCAAATGTAAAGAAAATATTGTTTTAGGAACTGACATTTGTTCTTCTACTTAATTAAAAATACAGATGTTCTCCAAGCCAGCAATCAAAGAAGTCTTAAAGTTCAGGCCTTGCATTCACTTGGAAATCTTCTTGTCTTTGCAGATAAGAAAAGGTAGGTGTCTAGGTATTGGTAGAACAAGAGCAAATTTTCTTTTGTTTGAAAAAAATATTAATTATTGTATAGCCTTATTGTCTTTCCTATATTGTAGTTCTTCAATAATACGACAATAATTCATGTTATTCACCAAATGCCTCCTAAGAGGAACTTACATGAGCAATGAATGGTATAGATTTATTCTTTGATGTGTTATTGAAATGTTGCTCTGTTTGCTTTCCTATTTGGAACATAGATTTAATAACAGGTCTGAGAAAATGTACTGTTTGATGCTCTGTTTCTGTTTTAGGGCTGCTTATAAGTGCTGGTGTCAAGCTCTGGATGACATATTCAGAACACCAAACGTGCTGCATACATGGAAAGAACTTGGCACCTCCATCACCCATGCCACCAGCAGCTCTTCGCCTTCGGGTTTCAAAGACTACAGTGAGGAATTTCTGTCAAAAGTTGGCATTTGGGGGTGTTTGCAAGGAGCAGTCATATCGGCAAAGATAGCACAGTGAGTGTGAGGGTAGAGTATTCTATTGCATAGTCACTGCCAGCTTCCTGTGTCACAGGGAGTGCCATGCCTTGCGTCACACACACCAGGATTTTGACAGTTATGACCACATCATCAGGGCTTACAGTTTACTTTTTGGTGACGCTGATTGCTTATTGACTGTCTTATCTTCCTATAGATCCCACACTTCCCGACCTAAAATGAGACTGCCACATGGCACAGGTCTTTACTTCATTCACAGATGTATCCTAGGTGCCTGGCATGGAGTTGGCCTTCAATAACTACTTGTTGAATGAGCAGATGAATGAATATAAACAGTTGGTATGGAGAGAGACTCACAGTATGGAGGCAGGTCTATGTGGGCCTAACTCGAGAGCATCTTAGTAATCCAAGTTGCCCATTCTCTCTGAGCCTCAGTGTCCTTTTTCTAGACCTGTTGGAGAGAATTACATGACATCTGTATTAATTAGCTGCAGCTGCTATAGCAATGTACCACAGACTAGGTCATTCAACAACAGAAGTTATGAACTCCAATTCTGAAGACTGGAAGTCTAAAATCAAGGTGGTAGGTGACCAATTTCTTCTGAGGTCTCTTTGTGATTTGTAGATAGCCACCTTTGAAAAAATGATTTATTCCATGAGTGAAAAAGAGAGAGAGAGGGACAGAGAAATAGCACCCCTCTGCAGAGTCTTGATACTACAATCTACCCCTAGCTTTAGTCAACTTGGATCATGGGTACATGTATGCCAACATACTCAGGGAGGTATCCAGAGGCAAACTGGTATCTTTTCCACAGGGTCCACCTTGCAGTGTTATGTTTTTATATGGTGCCACCATCTAGCCAAGATGGCCAGCTTTTTACTGTGTTATCACATGGTCTTTTTTCTGTGCTCATCATTGTCCTAATTTCATATCCTTTTTCCCCCCACTTTTTCTTGCCAGAGGGCATGTGTCCTTGAAAGAAAGAGAGAGAGAGAAAGGAGAGAGAGATAAAAGAGAGAGGGAGATAGCACCCTCCTGTAGACCATCACATTATAATCACTTCTCTATTTCTCTATCCTGTCGGGATCTTGGACATGGGCACACACACACACATGTTCAGCGTATCTTTCTTTCTTTTTAGAGGTTTTCATCTTGGGGTACAAGCATTCACCAGAGAAAGAGACAGAGACAGTGAGTAGGAAAGTGAGGAATCACCCTCCAGGGGGAATGGCCATGCCAGAGTTCCTTCTCCCCCATTGTCCTCCTGTGATCTTGAGCACACACACACACACACACACACACACACCTGGTGTGATTTTTCAAGCCACCAGGTCTTGACTCAAACTGCAGTTGACCATGGGGGAGTCCAGTGACATAACCACTATGTCATCTGCTGGTTCCTCCATGTTCAGAATGTCTTTCAATCTGCCAGCTTCAGGACACTCATCACAGCTGGCCATGTGGAATCTGCGTTTCTACTCACAGCATTTAACCACTGTGCTATGGGGCTGGCTCCTAATTTCATATTCTTATAAGAACAACTTGCATATTAGACTAGGTCTCATCCTAATAAAGATCTCATTTAAATTTAGTTATCTCTTTAAAGGCCCTATCTTTAGGTACAGACATATTCTGAAGTTACCTGGGCTTAAGACTTTAGCATATGAAGTTTAAGGGCATATAATTTAGTCTACAACACACATTATATTAGTTTCTTATTGCTGCTATAACCAATTACTCTAAACTTAGTGACTTAAAACAATACAAATCTATTATCTATTAACTTCCTAAATCTATTAGGGAGTTTAGAAATCCTAAAATCAAGGTATTGGCAGGGCAGTGCTTCCTCTGGAGACTCTGGGCAGAATTCTTTCCTAGCCTTTTCCAGCTGTTATGGCTTGGGTTAGTCAGAGTTCTCTATCCCTACACAACCAGTAGGTTTGTATAGCTTTGCTAATGTAAGAGGAGTTTTGTTGGGGAAATCAGCTCATATAATGAGGGTAGCTGAGAAGTCCCACACAGGGCCATCTGCAAGCTGGAGATCCTGGGATGCTGGAAGCATGGATCAGTCTATGTTCAAAGGCCTCAGAGGCAGGAAGGATGATGATGGAACTCACATTCTGAAGCTGAAAACCTGAGAGCCTGGGGAAGGAGTGGGGTGCTTGTGTGAATCCTGGAGCCTTGAGTTTTAATGTCCCAGGCAACAGAATAAGGCTACCTTCTTCTGTATGTGTGTGTGTGTGTGTGTGTGTGTGTGTGTGTGTGTGTGTTTTAGTTTGCCTGAAGGCTTGTGTGCTCACCAGTGACAGAGAGAGAAAGAGAAAGTAAGAAAGCACCTCCCATGGGGGATGGTCATTTCACAATCCCTCTGCTCCATTTTCTCCTTTCTAGATTTTGGGTATGTGTGCACATGTGCCTGGCTTTCTTGTCAAGCTGCTGGATCCAGAACTTGGACCACACAGTCAGCCATGCGAAACCCAGACATTTTTTTTTTTGGGGGGGGAGGTTTTTGCTATAGGGCGCGTGCACTCGCCAGACAGACGGAGAGAGACATAGAGACAGAAAGCGAGAAATCACCCCCCAGGGGGGATGGCCACGTCATAATACTTTCTCCTCCACTCTCCTCTTGGGATCTTGGGCACGCACGCACACACTCCCAGCGTGAGTTTTAAGCCACTGGGTCCGGGACGCGAACCACTGTCAACTACGTGGGAGTCCAGCGACATAGCCATTATGCTAACTGCTGGTCCCGAAACCCAGACATTTTAACCACCATGCCGCTGGCTGGCCCAACTCCACTTTAAAAGAGACAGATCAGTGTCTTTTGTATTTATTCTCTCCCGGCTCCTTGTTGACTGGATCATACCCACCTAGCCACCCTGAGGTCAGATCTTCCACTTGTAGTCTACTCAGACTCACGTCAGCCCCTTCTGGGAACACCTCCATGGACACACTACAGTAATGATTTTTCTTAGTATTCCTTAGTCTAGTCAGGTTGACAGCCCAAACTAACCACCATAGAGGCTGCCTGCATTCCTTGCCTCTTGGCTCCTTCTATCTTCAAGAACCACAGCCTAGAACCTCCTCTCTCTCTCCCTTCTCTCTAACCTCTGCTTCCATTCTCAAATCTTTTCTGACTTTGACCCTTCTACTCTTCTCTTTTAAGGACCATTGTAATTTCATTGGGGCAACCCAGATAATGCAGGATAACCTCTGCATCTCAGGGTCCTTAGTTTAATTGCATTTAATTAGTTAATTGCAGAGTCTTTTTATTTTTTGCAAGGCAAAGTAACATATTCATAGGTTGCAGTGATTAGGATGTGTATCTTCTCGGAGCACCATGATGCAGCCTACCACACATAACATACATGAGTATCTACCACAATGCCTAATACAGTTAATGTGTGGATATCTTAAATATCTGACTAATATGAGAAATATAAAAGGGATGGAGAAAGAAGATGTGCAGGGTTTTGTTGTTGTCGTTGTTTTAACCTTCTCAGTTACTTCTTTAGTTCACTTGTAGGATACGGTGGGCAAAAAACCTGTATAGTATTTTGAGCTTCAGAGCAAATTAAAAAAATAACTTTCCCTAATTAGTAATCACATTGCTTTCAGAAAATTAGCCTCTTTGGGGAGAGGAAATAAGACATTACCACTTTAAAAGTATTAAACATGAAAGATTTTTTAAAAACCTCTGTCAAGTTTGTTTTTTTTTTTTGCACTCTCAGGAAGGAACTCATTTTTTAGACTCTCTCTCTCTCTTTCTCTCTCTCTCTCTCTCTCACACACACACACACACACAGACACACACACACGTGCATGCTCACGTGCTCCCCACACATCTGAGTTTAGAAGAGCTGAGGAAGGTTCACAGCCCAGAATGGAACAGCTATAGCATTTCTGCCTGGGAGCATTTCAGGTTCTCTGAGCCTCTGAAGTTATTACCTCATGCTTTTTAACCAGCAGAAAGCCGTTTCCTGGTGGCCCTGCTGGAAGTACAGAGTCTACGGGAGACGTGATTGTACAGGAGCTTCGTTTTTTTTCTGAAGGCTCCCTGAGTAGAGGACACTCTAATTCTCACCACAGAATACCACAGTCAGATATCCACATAGGGAATTTCAACTCAGATAAACAGTGAAGCTGACTGGTTTTATTGAAGTAAGCCTTAGGTGAAGGTAATGTGGTTTACAGTTGTGAATGTGAATTTTAAGACTCACATACAGAAAGCTCAAACTCTTATATAGGACAAAAAAATGAGATGGTGGTAAATGGAGAAAGACTACTCTTTGTAGAGATACTTAATATCGTGACTGGCTCCATCATGTACAGCTGGAGAAGAAATGCAGTGCTCCTGTCTTTAGGGGACATTATTTAATTGTACTCATCAAAAGCCTTAATTGTGTCCCTCCTTTTATGAAAACATTCTACTTCTAGGGCATTATTGAGTGGAACTAGTAGGATAATGCTAAAGATATAGGTACTGCAATGTTTACGTTAGCATTGAAAAAAGACCAAAACAGAGATTAACATTTTCGTATGATGGTATATCCATACAGTAACACATTAAAGTTATTTAAAATAATGTTGTAGCTCATTGTGTTCTGTGAATGAAAAATTTACATGTAAAATAGTGTGTATTGCATACTAGTAGTCTTAATAGTTGTGTGTGTATATGTTTCTATGTGTGTATAACTACGTACAGAAGGTAATCTAGGAAAACCCAGCCAGGCACATCCTGAAATGGATACTGAACTTGAGCTCTGAAATATTGCTTCCCATGACCCAAAATGAAGATTTTCTGCTAAGACTTCTTTCTCTAGATTCATTTCTAGGGGGTAGGGCTACTTCTGTCTCCTCTCCATTTCTTTCTATCTCTCTCTGTCTCCTGTGTCTCCCAGTGACTTTTAACTTAACTTTTTTTTTTAAGGTAAAGTATCCTCTGGCTCTCAAGCCCCTCCTTTATTATGCTAGTTGCTGCCTTTCCCATTTCATAGTTTTTATTTTTTTTGCTTTTTAAAGTTAAAATCTAATGTTTTTTTTTTAGTATCATTTTCTTCTTCTTTTTCATTTGATTATTTTTTCTACTTTCTTCTTCTCTAATTCTTTTCTTTTTTTTCTTTATCTTTGTTCATTGGCTGTTCAGCCTCTTCACACTAAGTGTATAGACAGGTCCAAGTGAACAGGATCAAACATCTGAATACGATTAGGATAGAATATTCCTCTATTCTCACTGAATCAAAGAGTGAAAATGGAATGGAAGAGAGATTGCAGGTCACTTCTTTCTGCATGCCTTGAATGCTCAGATTGAACTTCAAGAATTTGGAAGAAACGCACCATGCATCAGATGACTAGAAATTACCACAGGGTCACAAGAAATACGGAAAAGCGAGAAAATACCTCTCCTCCAAGGGAAAAGAATAACTCCTCTTCTTCCTCAGACAGTACAATAAAACTCATGGAAATGCCTGATAAAGAATTTAGAATATTCATAGTGACAAAGCTAGCAGAGATGGAAGAGAAGAGAGACAATGAACTGCAGAAGAGGCAGGAGAAAGGAGATGATGATTTCCAGAAGGTGAGGAGATTTTTGCAAGATCTGAAAGAGGAAATACACATTATAAAAAAGAATCAAATAGACCTGTTAGAGAAGGCAGGAAGGCTATAATACAGGAAGTCAAAATCTCCCTTGAAAATATTAAAAGCAGATTAGATCATACAGAAAACTGAATCTCAGTTGTAGAAGATAGAATTGCTGGCCTAGAAAAATCCACCATGAAGACTGAGAAAATTGCTAGAAAAATGAGAATAATATACCAGAAATGCTAGATACCATAAAACATCCAAACATCCAGATAATTGATATCCCAGAAGGTGAAGAGACTCATAAGGGCATTGATAATCTATTCCATGAAATCCTGCAAGGAAACTTTACAAACCTAAAGAGACATTCAAAGATCCAATCTCAAGAAATACAAAGGACCCCAAATGGAATCAACCCAAGAAGATCTTCTCCAAGACACATCATAAACTGACCAAAACTACAGACAAAGACAATATTCTAAGATTGGCAAGAGAAAAATGGCAAGTTACCTATAAAGGGTATCCCATCAAGCTAACAGCAGACCTCTCATTGGAAACAATGCGAGCAAGGAAAGAATGGGAAAACATATTCAAAGTGTTAAGGGAAAAGCAATTTCACCCAAAAATACTGTACCTGGTAAGAGTATCCTTCACGTGGGAAGAAAAGACAAGAACATGCTCAGATAAACAAAACCTGAAAGAATTTACCAGCACCAGACCAGATCTCCAAGAAGTTCTCAAGGGAGTGCTATACCAAGAAAATTAAATACAGACACACAGAAATAAGAATTCAAAACTAAGAAAATGGCCAACTTGATCGCAGGGACAAGTCTGGAGTTGAATAATATATCCTAGAATTTAATTGGGAAGATCAAACCACAACAGAAGATAGATTAAATACATGAGACTGAACTGGTGAAATAGCATTTTATGACTTTTGACTAAAACATTGCTGATTTTATTCTATGCTTTGTTTTCCAGTTTTAAGGATTTTTGTCCTGTCTTGAGCTATCGATAGATAGGTTCATGTACCTACTATTTGAACAGAATTCTAACCTGTTTCCTGGCTTTAAGTTTTAGGCCAAATTACTTAGCATTTCTTTGATAAAACTGCTTTTCTTGAACTTAAAAAATACATTAAAAAAAAAAAAGAAAGAAAAGAATCTAGATGGCCAGCCTGTGGCTTGGTGGTTAAGTGAGCTGGATCCTACATTTCTGACCATATGGTTCAAGTCCCGAACTCAGTGGCTTGAGAGACATGCTGGGCATATGTGAGTGTATGTCCAAAATTTCAAAAGGAGGGAGAAATGACGGAGAAGGGGTTGCTGTGTGACACTGTGCCATGGGGGATGCTTCCTCAGTTTCTCTCTCTCTCTCTTTTTTTTTTTTTTTTAATCTTTCTCCAGCAAGTGCTCACAGCCTGTGGCAAATAAAAACAAAGAAAAGAAGAATAAAATCTAGAAGGAAATTGACTAAAATGCTACCAGTAGTCAAGTTTAGATGCTTTAGTATTATAGATGACTTTTAAAATTCTTCTTTTAAAAATATTTTCTTATACACACACACACTTTTTTTCCTTATATTTTTGCATTCTGTATATGTGTCTAAAGACACATTTTATATCAAAATAGTTTTGGAAAACTGTCACTAATCAGTTTATTTTTCTTGTACTTATTCAGATTTATTAAGACATTGAAGGTTACGAAGAGAACCAGCTGTTGCATTTTATCTGCATTACTCTTTCAGGTAACACTTTATGTTTTTCTATAGTTGCACCACTATTCATTCAATCAGTGAAAGGTGCAGTAGTTTGTCATATTCATAAAACATAATAGGTAGGAAAATAGCAGGAATATCACAAGTCTGACTGAACTCTTGTGGCACCTTATTTTTGGTATTCTGAAAAGACAGATCTTCAAGTCACAGAAGTTTTACGGAGAGAGAAACAATCTCTTCAATTAAAAATCACATTACCAGTGATCTATGTTAGCCTGATCTGTTTGACTCCAAGCAGTTGCCTTAGGTTACCTGATCTTTAAATAAAGTTGTGCTTGGTTATGGGATGTAAAAACTGTAATGAGGGCAGGAAATAAGTTGAAAACTACAGAAGAGGAGTGTTTGTGGTTCTTAGAATTTTGGTTTGACTTCAATGAAGAAGGAAGGAGCTTTTATCTGAAATACAAGACTTTCTGAGATTCTGGGATATAGCCAGGAGCCTCTGCAGTGTACTAAAGGTTCTGTTTACTTTGAAGGATAGACACCCTTGTTCTGTGTATCAGAGGACTCTGATAGCTAATGAAACCTGGATGGGTAAGAATGTTTGGGAAAGGCTTCTCCAAATGTAGGGCCAGACTTTTCAATTTTCTTATGTTTCTTGTACTTCTTGCCTGGGCTTCAAAGGGAAGAGGTGGGAGAAGGGAGGGTGCAAAGGGAATGATTATTTCGCTCTAAACTCTCCTTACATGGTATTCTTTACTTTCAGTTATTCCTTGTTTGTGAAGGTAGTGCCATTTACATCTTAGAAAATAAATGATCTTAAAAAATATTTAACATTTTGTTTAATGTGGACATTATTATTATTATTATTTTTGGGAGAGGTTTTTGCTATAGGGCATGTGCGCTCACCAGAACGACAGAGACAGAGAGATAGAAAGCAAAAAATCACTCCCCAGGGGAGATGGCCATGCCGCACAATTCCTTCTCCTCCATTCTCTTCTCGGGATCTTGGGCACGCATGCACACACACCCAGCGTGAGTTTAAGCCACTGGGTCCGGGACTCCAACCACGGTCGGCTTCATGGGAGTTCAGCGACATAGCCATTACTCTAACTGCTGTTCCCCAGACATTATTTTTTTTGTAATACTGCACCTAAAATTAATATTAGCTTTAAAAAGTGTCTACTTATCTTATGATTTTAAAACAAATTTGTGAAATTCAATTTTTCAAGAATTATGCATTTAATTTTATTTATAATAATAATAATTATTATTATTAAATTCACCAGAGAGAGGGGAAAGAGAAAGACAAGTTGCTAGGTCCAGGACTCAAACTGCAGTCAACCATGTGGGAGTTCAGTGCCTTAATCACTATGCCACCTACTGGTGCATGAAATTCAAATTTTAAACAACTACATAGTATTTTAGAGTAAGGCACCTTATAACTTTAATATGTGATTTCATTGAAATTCTTCTCAAAGGTGTACACTAAAATGATTTTATAGTTCATTTGTCAGAAAGAAATGCTAATTGCTTAAGATAGCAAAGGAAATACTCATAAATATAAAATTTGCTTTTGTGTATTCATCTTGTTTCTCCAACATCTGGTACAATGTTGATCATAAAAATTACTCAAGAAATATTGGTCAAATGGAACAAATTCATCTTCACTTAATGCACTTAAAATTTTGTAATTGCCTCTTTCTGATTTAGACTTCTGAACTAAGTTGCCATTTCTTTTACTTACAGGTTGATAAGGTAGAGAGAACATAGGTGTTTGAATTAAAGACATGACTTTGAGTCATCTTTCTGCCATTGTCAGCTATATGACCTGAAATAAATTTTTTAAGCCTTAGTTATACAATTTGGGATAAAATATTCCTTTTTTCTAAGGGTAGATTAAATGAGGATTAAATGAGATATGTTTTATAAAGTGACCCACACAAAATTGACCATCAATACATGATAACTTAATAAAATGATAATTTCTTAGAAAATAAGGAGGATCCAGCTATGTACTATGGAATTTAAAAAGCCCATCCTGAGTGACTAAAGCATTTGGAACCTATAAAGATACATTAATAAGTATTGTTTATTACAGAATTTAGTTTTATAGGCATAATAAGTATTGTTTATTATAGAATATAGTATTATTTCACTTCTCTTTTTTTTTTTTCAGGGGTTGCTTAGGACTACACTTCCACATCCCAAAGCTGAACGTTGCTATGCTCAGTATGAAATTACTCAGCTTCTCCCGGGCATAGAACTCTTCTCTGATAGATTCAGGGCTGATCTTGGCTCTGTAGTTGCAAGTCTATATTATGTAATACGCGAACTGCACTTTGCTAAGCAAAATCTAATAGTAAGTAGTTTGAAAATCAACAAATCTTAATTCACTATTATGTTTTCTCCCACTTACCTATTTTTCAAAATTTGGTAATATTCTTTTTGTCAGTTCTTGCATTTCAATTCTCTGTCTTTAGGATCCTTATCTATATTTTAAAATGAAATGTATTAATATTCACTCTTTAACATTATCTGCACTGCATTTTGGATACAAAAGTCTATTTGATTTTTTTTGACTTTTGACTTTATTATTTTTTGATTTTATGACACTAGGTAAAATTGATTAGAACGTGTCACCGATCTCGTAGGGCTCTAGTGCTCTTGTAACTCACTGTATTAAGTTCTCAATACCAAACCATGAAACAGTTTCTGTACTGAGATAAACCTGTCTTTGTGTCTCTTGTCTTTCCTCTGTCAAGGTGACATAACTCAAGAACAGATTCTAACTGTAAAATAAAAGACAGACATTTCTTTATGTTCTAGGAAGTCGCAGAATGCAAATACAACTCTCCTTTCTTTGGGAAAAGAAATCACAGCATACATCATAAGTGTGAACTTGATTGCATTTTAAAAGTAAATTAATATGTTCTAACCTATGGCCATTTTATTACTCCCTCTCTTTTCTTCCCTTATGCTCTTTTCTCTATTTTTTCTTATCATTTGCTTCTTAATATGTAATATCTATCTTTCCTCTTTTCTTGCTTCTTTCTCTTTCCTTCCTAATTTCCTAATTTTCATACCTACTTTCTTTTTTTTGGGGGGGGGTTTCACGTATTGTTTTCTATTCTCTTGGCATATTTGTTCTTCTAAATTAAACTCTCTCTTTATATTGAAAATATTTATTGTCCCTTGATATGAGTTATTAAATTATAAAACCATGTGCTAAAGCAAGGATGTTGATAAATGCTTTTAACATTTGGCATTTTGGCAAGAAATTGTTTATCAGAAAAAAATAACAAATCGCTACTTCTATCACTGTTAAAAGGATTCATTTCTGGATTGAGAAAACAGTTCTATCCCCTGGGTAATCTTTAATTGCCTATTCATATTCATATATAATACATATCACTGCACTGGAAAAGAAATGATATCTTTTTCTCTAAAACTTAAGAAATTGAGACTGTTTTTCTGAATAATTGTACAATTGGCAGCAATAAAATGATGTGTTTTTATTTCTCACTAAAGGCAAAACTAAATCCCAAAAGTAATTGGCAACTCTTAATGTTTTCTGCTGCATTAATTGTACAAAAAGGTATTGTGTCATGTTTGTAGTGCATAACTGTAGAGAGAGGTACGATGTTTGAAATAATATAAGACCAGTTCTAATCCTTTTAAAAAGCTGCTGCAGTTAGCATATATGCCCACTGATTGAAAATGAGAGGTGTCTCACCTGACCTTGCAAGAAGTAAACAGCTTCCCTTTGCTATTACATTAACCTTCTCTAGAAGAAGCCTTGTGGGTAAGGAGATGTCTGTCAAATCAAAAATTTTCTCTGGGACCCAGAGATGTGGAACCATGTGAAACAGTTTGCTGAGTAATGAGGATCCCAAGCTCCTTTCTTACTCCATCTCTCTTTGGTAGGACAGGATATATTGGATCATCAGAAAAGTCATGACGCAAAGAATAAGTTATAATAACCAAGTTCCAAGTTTCGGTTTAGATCAGTAGCTATTCCAATGTCTAGCAAAACTGTCTTTCAACACCCTTTTCTGGATAGATAATGGCTAGGTCAATTGAAGTATCGATTGTTTGTAAGACTCAACATGTATCCACGAGACTTCAAAGGATTCTTGAGCTTTGGAATTAATTCTAGAAAAATAAAAATATTATGTGAAGGGCATGCTTGGGTTTCAAACAGTAGGGTGCATGCTCTGTGAAGGCTGAGACTTGTTAGATTCAACAATGTCTACACACAGAAGGCGTGTTATAAATATTTTCTTGCTGATAGGAAAAATCCTGAGGACAAATAGCAGCTGATGATTGAGAAGAATAAACAGGATCTAGTTAGGGGACATGGACGTGAGCTCCTTTGCTTTAAATTTTGCATTTATTTCATAGCTCATTGCCAGAATTTTCCCACAGGCCCCAGTGATTCAATTTATGTGACTCACAGGCCTCACTGAGTTAATTTTTTTCAAGGGAGATAATTAATTGGATTTTAACTTTTCCTTGCTTAAAGAACTGTCAAACCTAGGTTTTGAGTACCAAATGGTACCTACATGGAACTCTAAGTCCCTGATAACATTTTAAAGTTCTGGTAAAATTATGAAGCATGTTCTAGACAGATCATTTCACTCTATACCCAACAGAAAATGAATCAAACTTTACATCACATTTACTATTTAGCTAAATTTCATTACAGATTACTAATTTGATGAAATATATTTTAAAACAGTGTTTTTCTTCTGGTAGGTTCTGCCTCTCCTTGCATTGTACCAGTATTTTGTGTCTGTCATTTGCCAAGACCTAGTTAGAAACCTAGAAGCAAGAATCCTCAAGGTAAGTTACAAGTTTTTAAAGTCATGTGGTATTCATTAACTATTAAGAATATTGTCATGCAGTATTTTGATTCTAATACTCATAATGATATACTGTTAAATAATGTGTAGTATATTGATATAAACATAACTTATCCATTTTTATAATAAAGTATGAGGAATGACACAGAAGGGTTTAGATCATCTCATATTTGGGCTACAGTAAGGTGAAGAAGAACTACACTTGTAAATAAGGTTCACGCCATACCAGTCAGCCTAGAGCTCACCACTTCTGAGAGACTGGCTTCCTGGCGGAGATCAAATGAGCTACTTATCATTTTTTTAAAAGAATTATTTATTGGGACCAGCAGTTAGCATAATGGCTATGTCTCTGAACTCCCATGAAGCTGACCACGGTTTGAGTCCCAGACCCAGTGGCTTAAACTCATGCCGGGCATGTGTACGTGCGTGCCCAAGATCCCTAGAGGAGAATGGAGGAGAAGGGATTGCGGTCATCCCCCCTGGGGGGTGATTTCTTGCTTTCTGTCTCTCTGTCTCTCTCTCTCTTTCTGGCGAGTACACACTCCCTATAGCAAAAACCTCTCAAAAAAGAAAAAAAAAAAGAAAAGAAAAAGAAAAAGAATTATTTATTTACCTTTATTATCTTTATTATCATTATTTGTTAGTTTGACCAGGGAGAGGCAGAAAGAAAGAGGGGAGTTGAAGGAGGGAGCGAGGAAGAAGGAAAGTGACAAAGCAAGGTACCAGGTCCAGGACTTGAACCGTGGTTGACCATGTGGGAGTCTAGTGCCTTAACCACCACACCATTTGCTCGCCCCATGAGCTACTTTTCTGAAGTTCCTATGAATTTATTCTAAGGATTATTTTATATATCATGATATGCAAGAATTTTTCAGTGCACAGATAACTGAATTATCAAAATTGAGACACACTATATTACAATACATTACAATGACTTTAACTGGTAAGTCAGTTAAGGTTGTCAGCTTTCAAGATTTTTGCACACTTGGCTTGAATCTCCTGTGGGCTGGCAACCTAAGCTCTTCGTTTTTCTGCCTGCTTTCCTATCCACCTATGTTCTAAATTCCTACTTTTGTTGAATTGTTCTGTTTTCTGCACCTCTTTAACTCTCATATGGAACTCAGACCCTTTCTGTGTTTTTACACACACACACACACACACACACACACACTCATTGAGACACACATATTTACTCAAGGTCTTTGTTTCTGTTTTCTGACTTTACTGAAAAATGGGAAGACAGGGAAATTTAAGTTGAGGCAAAACAAGTTAAATCAGAATATTTAGCATTGTTGAGCTTGAAATATTTCTTGGCATTGTTTCATTCTTTGTTTCCCATTCTGTGACATAATCAGTGGTGTTTTTCTGGTAAATGTTTCACAGTTGGTGCTAAGAAGCCTAGAAGCTCTGATTTGTAGCATTTGCAATTTTCATGGTATAAATATTGTCCTAACGGCTGACTTTAAACTACCTACTATATGTCACTGAAGATAAATTGTGACAAGATATGTATAATCAGCTCTTGGCAATTGGGAGTTAAACTAGCACATCACTGGCTTAACCCCATATCCCCAGATTCCCCCCCCCCTTTTTTTATATACTCTCTACCCTTCTTCCCCAAATCCCTCCTGTTTTCTAATGAGGGATAACTAGATTTTCCTTTGAACTGTACTTTCCATACAGGCCTGCCCTCGGGCCTATGTTTTCAAACGCATAAAGTTATTGTGTTGTGTTTTCAAATAAAGACCATACCTTCCCCAAGAGAAATTCTGATGCCGTTAAGGTAATATATTTTAACTTGGGAATCAATTATTCATCAGCCTTTAAAATTTCTGGATCACTTTCACTTCTTTGCAAAAAAAAAAAAAAAAAAGCTCTTTTGTTTTGAATTTCTATAACACTTGCATAAAGACTGCACATAATTTTTTTCTCTCTTTTTCTTCTTTTTTCTTTTGTTAGAGGGCATGTGCCTTTTTTCTTTTGTTAGAGAGAGGGTAGGGGAGTGGTGAGTGGTCATGTCATAATCCTTTCTCTTCCGTTTCTCACTCTTTTTGGGAGTTTGGGCATGCATGCACATGCGTCTTGTGTGTTTTTCAGGCCACCAGGTCTGTTACTTGAACCATGGCATCAGCCATGTGGGATTCAGCTACTTTAATCACTAGGCCACAGAGCCAGCTCATCTATTTCTCTCTCTTTTTAACAGTGCTGGCTTTAAGACTGCATAATTCTTGAGGCCAGCAGATGGCATAGCAATTATATCACTGGACTCTCACATGGCCACTCACGGTTCCAGTCCTGAACCCAGTGACTTGAAACTCATGCCAGGCACATGTGCATGCATGCCCCAGATCTCAGTAGAAGAATGGAAAAGAAGGGATTGCAGTGTGGCCATCCTCCCTAGGGGGTTGATTTCTCACTTCCCTTTACTGTCTGTGTGTGTCTCTCTCTCAGGGGAGCACATGCACCCTAAGGTACAAACCTCTAAAAAATGAAAAGATTGCAAAATTCTTGAGGCTAGTACCTATATCTTAGTGTCTGAAGGAATAAAGAAGTGAAAACTGGGAGGAGAGACAGGATAAATATACAAGACAAGAACATATGCCCCTGTCACTCAGTCACTTCCAAACAGACATGATGAGCCTTAAGTCTCCAAGAGGCCAAAAGTGGGAAAATGCTTTTGGTCTTTAGGTTTTACCAAGTAGGTAATATTTATGTTTGAACGAATTGAGCTGGAGAGAGGAGAAAGGAGACATGCTTGGCAAACAATAGCATGAAAGATGCAGAGATGTGAAAGTAGAGTCAGCCCTCTGTGTCCATGGGTTCCACATCCATAGATTCTGCCAACGATGGGCTGAAAATATTTGGGAGGAAAACAATAAAATAAATACAGCAATAAAAATAAGACAATTTAAGATAATACAGTAAAACGACTATTTACAAAGCATTTACATTATATTAGACAGTATGAATAATCTAGACACGATTTAAAGTACATGGAAGGCTGTGTGTAGGTTGTGTTAGGGTGGTCAGTGTCACAGGCTGTGAAGGAATTCACATACTCAGAGAGTTAGCAGAGGAAGGGGTTTATTCACTTTCCAAGAGAGGAAAGAGGCCAGCTGTAGAGTTGTTTTGGAGTTGTAGTGACCCTGAAGGATGGGGCTATGGGTTTTTATGGGGTTTTGGAGGAAAGGGAGTTATGGTCAGGTAATTAATGTGGTCCTGCGACAGGAGGACTGTTGATCTTTTATAACATCTGGGTTGTTTCTGTCATTATCTCTGGGTGTCATACCTGACCCCTTTGATCTACCATATATTCCGTTGGTGTTAGTTTTGGTTGCAGTCCACGACGGGCATAGCAATCTTCATGTCTGAGGACAAAATATTAGTGAAACAAGAATCCTTGATCTTTGATGAGGGAGAAATGGCTGAGGAAAAAAATAGCTGCCTGAAGCACCTCGTGGAGGGGCTGGTGGTGGTGAATGTGTCCTTGAGGAGCTGAAAGTGTCCTTTTGGGTTATGTGCAACTATGATGCTATTTTCCACAAGGGACACGAGCATCTGTAGATTTCTGTCTCTGTGGACAACTATTCTGACTTGCTTAGGGGATAAGGTGGAGGTTTGAATAGGGAGGTTGTAGAAGGTAACTTGAAGACACCAAAAGTCCACGATGTGGAGAAGACCAGGGACCCGGTCTCAAATTCCAAACTATGAGGAGACATAACGTGGAGGTTGAGCAGTGAGAGAAATGAGCAGATAGAAGAGTCAGAATCGGCACTCAGATACATTCTCGCCTGTCTTTAAGAGGCGAGAAGCACAGAAGGGTTTCAATGACAGGAGGCAGTCTAGAATAGCACCAAAAGATGTAATCCAAACAAAGTTTTGGGTGATGCGACTATTTTTTTAACGCGTTGTTAGCACTTGGTAACTTTTTGTCACAGAATAGCCTAAGCACTGGTGAAAAACTGTGGAATTCATTTTAGAGCCTTGAGTTGGAATGGAATTTAATTATAGCATCTGATCAGAATGACCAGGTTTGGTATCTGCTTAATGGTGCAGGTTGCAGGATGAGAAAGAAGTGAGCTCTTACTGGCAAAGTAGGACTGAAAAACTGGACTAGGGTTTTGACAGATGCAATAAAAAAGGGCAGTTTATGGATTCTACAGAGAAGGAATGACAGCCTGTGTGAGAGAGTTTGTCTGACCTTTCTAAAGTAAACTGGGGTCAGCGAGTAGGAAGAGAGAAAAGTCCTAGTCAGAAAGAACTCGCAGCGGCACTTACTGACAGATCAAACAGCCGTAGATGAGGCTGTTAAGCTTCCATAGTGCACCAGTGCCCTTCAGAGAAAGCTTTAAGACCAGTTGGCCTGGCTTCACTTTGGAACTGCCAGCATCTTGAAAGATTTATTACTCTTGACATATCAAACATTCCTAAGAAGTGTACTGATGGCTTCTGTAGTTGTGTGAGTGAAGGACTGAATTATGAGTAGTTCTTTTTGCCATCCGGCCTGTTTGTGTTCATGGGTATTGGTCACTTCTGAAAACAAGTGTCCCTTATTAACACCATGACTTTTTCAAATGGTCCGGTTGGTGTGATGAACTGAAACCAGAGGCAGCCTTGACACTTTGCTGTCGTCCATGTGTGGCAATAAGACAGTCAAGGCCAGAGGAGACTAACCACACACAGACTTTGGGAAATGGCTCCTCACAGGGGTGATGAGAGAGATACTCATTCAGAAACCGAACGAGGTACTGTGTCTCCTAGGTGCCTGCTTCACTCTATACGGCACCGCAGAGGGGAGAATTCAAGGCGTCTGAGCCAGAACCAAAGTATGCAGCTCAACAGACACGCAGGGTTTACTTTCCCACTTAAAATGTTCTCATCTTTTATGTTATTTTCACAACCACTTATCCCTTAATTTACCTTCCTTTTATTTCTTTATGCACTTTTCTCTGAAGGTTCCTAAAATAGCGCTGAGAGAAAAATGAATAAAATGGGTAGACATGCTGAGGATAAATTGATCTTTCTTTTTCTATGACACACACACACACACACACACACACACACACACACACACATATATATATATATTTTTTTTTTTTTTTCAAAGTCACTAGATGTTTTCAAAGCATAAATCAAATTAGGGCCCTGTCCTATTCAAAACTCTCCCATAAGCTGTTACACAGAGGATGAAATGGTAAGTCCCTACTTTGGCCTATAGGCTCTACGTGACCTTCCCTGGCACCATGTACACTCACCTCCCACCCCTCGCTTCCATCCCTGAGCTTCTGCCCACAGGCTGCTCCTTGAGAATACTGGGACTACAAGACCGCTCCCCGCACAACGCACTTGTACTTGAGTTCTGCTCTCCATGATGTTATTCCTGCCTCTCTCTCTTTTTAAAAAGTTTCTTTATTTCTTTCATGAGAGAGACAGAGAAACAGACAGATAGGCATTCCCCAACAGGGTCTTCATAACATGATCCGGCCTCTCTTGGCCAGCCCAGGTCATGAGCATGTGTATGTCCGGCATATGCTAGAGGTCCTAGATGTGAGCCCAGGGTCTTGCCCATGTGGGTCTCCTTGCATTACCACTGCACCATCACCTGCCCCCTACCTCTCAGTTTTTCTCTTGAAGGCCTCCTCCTCAGAGAAGTCCTTCCTGATCACAATCTTGAAAGTAGCATTGTGCCTTCTCATACTGCGTATTTCCCCATGTGTAGCTTCAATTTAGCTAAATATACATCCCAATGGATGTAAACTTCAAGAGGACTTGGTGCATAAGAGGTGCTCAGTAAACGTGTTGAATGAATGAATGGATTTGGTCAGGAACTTTTCTTTATCATTTTCTAATTGATAGTTCCATTGGATTATATTAAAAATAAACCTTGTAAAATGTAGTTACCAATTGATTAATGTTGTTAAGTACCTTAAGAGGTCTTTAAAATTGACAATGTCTGTTGATTATAGGTAAGAAAATTAATGATGGTCTATGTTGATATATGTGGAGTTAATCTCCGGGTTTGACTTTCCTCAGAGCATTGGAAAATATTAGGAGTGGTTTTTATTTTTGTTTTTTAAGCTATAGTTTGCCATGGAAACAAAAAGATTCATTCCATGAATTTTTTTTTTTTTTTCTGGTAGGACGCATGCACTCACCAGAAAGAGATAGACAGAGAAAGTGACATCACCCTCCAGGAAAGATGGCCACGTCACAGTTCCTTCTCTTCTAGTCTCTTCTCAAGATTTTGGGCACACATGTGCAATCACCCAGCGTGATTTTGAAGCCAGGTCCAGGATTCCAACCACATCGTTGGCCTTGTGCGATTCAACTGCTTTAACCTCTGTGTCACCTGCTGGCCCAATTCTGTGATTTTTAAATTTTTTTCTAAATTTTTTAAAAATAAAATAAAAAAAAAAATTGGAGAGATTTTTGCTATAGGGCACGTGTGCTAGCCAGAAAGACAGAGAGAGACAGAGAGACAGAAAGCAAGAAATCATCCCCCAGGGTGTATGGTCATACCGCAATCCCTTCTTCTCCATTCTCCTCTTGGGATCTTGAGCACACACGCACACGTGCCTAGTGTGAATTTAAGCCACTGGGTCCGGCACTCAAACCGTGGTCCAACTACATGAGAGTCCAGCGACACAGCCTTTACACCAACTGCTGGTTCCATGTGATTTTTTTTTTAAAGAACTATTTTATTTAACTTTATTTAATTTTACCAGAGAAAGACAGAGTGAGAGATTAAGAGAAACAGAGAGAGGGAAAATGAGAAAGCAATCCACCAGGTCCTGGACTCGAACCACAATCAGCCATGTGGGAGTCCAGCGCCCTCAACCACTACCTGCTGGCCCCCTCAATGATTATTTTTAAACTTGTCCATGCCTATCATATTTTCCTGTTTGCCTTTGATGAAGTAAGCAACATCTGACAAACAGGCATTGTTTCGAACAGTTGCCTGCTGCTGTTTGTGAGTGTCTCGGTCCATTGCACATGTGGGCATCCTCACACAAACACAGACATCCCCGTTCACTCGTCTCTAGTAAACAGTAATTCACAATGCACTGCCAACATTACGCAGAAAGTTGGCATTTCAGAAACCTGACAATTTTTGTTTTAGCTAAGTTTTTTATTTTATAAGTGAAAGTAATAGCATAATTTAAAATTTCATTTTTTTCTTTATCTTTACAGATAGAAATCCTTATAGATTTGGGATTCTTTTCCGAAGCCTTTAATGAGATAGCCCACATTTTTTATGGAAAAAACATGCCATCCTCAGTATCTGCTGGGTGTAAAGCTACTGGAAAAAACAAGGTAACCTGTTAATTTGGTTCAAAGCCATTTCTTTACCTTTGAAAGTTGTGTTCCTAACATCTAGGGAACACTCCCACAAAAGTGTATTTATAAGTCTCGGTATTCCAAAGCTCTCTGTTAAGCCTGGTTATAGCTAACATCAGGCTTTTATGAGGTTTCTTTTTTTCATTTTTCTTTTTTTTTAATTTTAAAAAAGTTGTTTAGGTTTTTGCCATAGGGCATGTATGCTTGGTGAAGAGAGACGGAAGAGACAGAGAAGGGAAAAGTGAGAAATCACATCCCTTCCCAAGGGGGATGGCCATGCAGCAGTCCCCTCTCCTCCTGGGATTTTGGGCACTCACACACATGTGCCCAGCATGATTTTCAAGCCACCAGATCTGGGACTCAAACCAGTCGTCCATGTGAGAGTCCAATGCCTTAATTACCATGCCACCTGCTGGTCCCAAGGTTTCATTTGTCTAGAATGGAAAGGTGTCTTGGTGGTGGGAGTGTGATTTTGGAGTAGATTTTTTCTATGGAATTCTGGCTCATGTTGCATTTTATTATAGTTATAGATAATTTCACTAGATATATTTATCAGATACTACCTCTTAGGCTTTTGGTCTAATCTTACCAGTTTTGGTTAATGTTCTTAATCAAAATAGTCTCTCTTCATGTCTCTTTTGGGTGTTTTTGTTATATCTACTTTATATCAGGCTAAGAGTGTGTTGTCAAATTTTCTGTTGATTTCTGCGAGGAGAGACCATTCCTCCTCTTTGTCTAGTCTTTCTTGATCGTAAGAGCTGTTTTACCATCATCGTTCAATTTTGCTTGCACACCGGAAATTGACACATCCTTGGAGATGAACACTGGAGTTGACATTTAAAGTACAAAGTAAATCAGAGTGAGCTCTCGTTTTCCTCTGCTTTGAATTCCGTGGCCAGCTGGGACTCACTGGGTGATCTTGCTTTAGGCAGATGCTTGGACCCTCGTAGACCAGCAATAAAGGAAACAGGAGGTAGCAAGTGACTGTGGGGCCCGAGGGAGGCCCCCATGCGAGGACTGAGGCTGACAGACACAGTATGTGCTGGTCGGATTCAAATTTGGAGCACCTAAAAGAATCTAGGGAATAAGCCATAAATCTTGAAAATTGCTTGCATAAGCTGACATTATATTTGCTTATAATATATTCATTACTTCAGCCTATTCCCCTAAAACATACCTACTTATTTCTTGATATGACTGCTACAGCATTGTAATTTATTATAACAGGGTAAGCGCGAGGTTGTCCATAGAAGGTCCTAAGAGGAATGTTGTTGACTAGGCAATAAGATAGTCGTGTGTATGGTTTTGTGTGTGTGTGTGTGTGTGTGTGTGTGTGTGTGTGTGTGTGTGTGTGTGTGTACACACACAGAAAGAAAGAGGGAGAAATCAGTTTGTTATTTTATTCATTTTCTGTGGTGTGAATTAATTTATCTTCCTAGCTGGATTAAATTAGTATTTTTGTGCTTGCTTCTCAGTCCAACAGCCTTTCTTTATTCTAAATGGCTTACACTTGTTACTAAAATTGTAGTTTAATTAGTTGGAAAATATTTAGTGAGTGCTTACTGAATACAGGCACTGTTCCAGGCATGGAGATAGAGCAGGAAAAAGACAAATGGAGTTACTGCTGTCCTAGAGCTTACGGGCCACTGCGGGAGACACACAATAAACACAGTGAACGCAGAAATATGTGTCGGTGGTAACGTGCTACGAGAAACAGTCCAGCCAAGCTGAGGGATCGTGGCCGGGATGGAGGGTTGCTGCTGTGGGAAGCCAAAATATGTCACCCCAAAATGTACTTCTTTGGCATGTTTTGAGATGATGATTCAAAGTGGCTGCAGGTACAGAATTACCCTAAAAACAAAACAAAACAAAACTAATCTTTTGTAAAGGAAATTTCCACCTGCTCACAGTAGGAAAGTCAGCAGCCACACAAGCTGGTTTTTGCTGATGCTCCCCTGCCTAGACACAGGAAGGGGGATTTGCGGGCTGATACCTGGCAGGAAAACAGAATGATCTTTGCCTCTTCTCCCCACACCACTCACAACTTAACCTCCAAGCTTCTGTTCTTTTTCTGTAAGGCATAAAACCGCTTGTCGCCTGGCCCACCTTTGAGTCTCATATGTGTCACACTCCCATGTACATATGTGCATGATTTTTAGATAAATAATGCTTTTTCTTCTAATATGACTGTCTCTTTTTCACAGATTAAGAATCTTTAGGGGAGGGAAAAAGACTTAAAGCTTCCCTACATTGTTTTATTCAGATGGTTTAGGAGGTATTTGAGTTTTGGGTGAAGCTATGCAAAGATCTGAGGGAACAACTCCCAAGTAGGAGGAACTGCCAAGGCAGATGTCCCAAAGGGGATGCCCACAAGATACGGTTGAGGAAAACCAGAGTCCAAGGGAGGTTGCAATAAAGACGAAGAGGAAGGAGTGGAATGAGGTTCCCTCCATAAGACCTCAATGGACTTGTTAAGAACTGGAATTTACTTTAAATGAAGTGGGAAACCTTGCAGAATTTTGAGCAAGGACGTAACATGAAAGAAACCAAGTATGCAAGGAATATTTTGTTTGCTTTTTGAGGAATAGACCACGGGTGGGTAGGATATAAATAGGGAGACCAGTGAGAAGGTTATTGTAATAAATATTGTCATATACCATACTAATGATGATTAGTTCATGAGGGGCTATTTATACCATGGTGGTGCCAGAAGATTGTAATTGAGCTGAAAAAGTCCTGCCACCTGGTGGTCGAGATGGCAAACAATTTCAACTGTGGATGAGGATGAAGGTGAAGAGCTGCTACAGGTCGTTCCTGTTGATTTGACGAATGAATTGTTGGAACTGGAGTAGGAACACATGGCTGAAGAAGAGAAAGAACCCACCAAGAGAATCCACAGTGAAGAGTTTAGCAGAAGCTTATGCAGACCTCAGCAAGTTCCTTAAAATGTTTATAAACATAGATGCTAAAAACCAAAATATTTTCATCATAGAGAGGAATATTAGTACCTTATCTGCTTACAAGCACATCTACAATGGAAAAGAAACAAACCAAGCAAACCACCACGAGCATTTTTCTGAAAAGAACGGTGCCTCCTGAAGAAGGAAGCTGAGACAGAAGAGCAGGAGGAAACTCATAGAACTGCAGGTCCGGGTGCTGCCTCTACCAGCAGGTGAGCCCACAGATCAGTGGCAGGTGTGGAACTCCACCTGCTCAGCCCCCACATTGACAGTGACAGCCTAAAGGCAGCTATTATTTCATTCTCACCTCCTAAATCTCACACAAATGTCCCCGTGCTCAATGCTATCTTGTAAGAACCCAAGGAGAGGAATTCTGAGAAAATGGTCCAGCTCAGCTAAGTTGACAAGGTACAGAACTACCATTGACAACTTCCTGAAAAATATGCTGTTTGAGTTAGATTTTTAGAAGGTGAGGACTTAGTCAAAGAAAGTGGAAAGGCAAAGAAGTTGTTATAATCAAAGATACAGATTCAAGGATTAGCACTGTGAGCTCAGAGAACAAAAGGCACTGTGGATGCTCGACAGGTGTGAAGATTGGTTCTGGTTAGCTCCATGGCCCAGACCTGCAGGTGCCCCATAGTTACCTGTTGAATACATAACTACAGTGACTATGTGAGGCAGTGAATGGCAGGATTTTAAACAGTGAATTGGATATGGACTGAGTCACGTAAGACCTTTTATAGGACCCTACCCCCAAAAATGTCAGGCGGAGGAGTAGCAGATATGGACTGAACTCGTGCAAGAGATTTAAAACAATAAGGAAGCTTGTTCACCAGCCTAGGAAAAAATGTCTTAAACTAAGGCAACAGAGAAGGGCTTTGAGATCGGCTGGATAACAAGTGAGAAAGCTGTGGCTCAAGTCTTAACAAAATGTTCTAAGTGCCTTCAGTAAAGAACTTCTCCAGGACCAGCAGATGCATAATGGTTATGTGGCTGGACTCCCACACAGTAGACCACAGTTCAAGTCCTGGACCTGACAGCTTAAAATTCACACCGAAAGTGTGTGCATATGTGTGTGCCCAAAATTCCAAGAGAAAAACGAGGGAGTAGGGATTTTGGTATAGCCATCCTCCCGGGGGTGGGGGGGAGGGATTTCTCACTTTCTGTCTCATTGTCTCTGTCTCGCTGGTGAGCACATGCACCCTATAGCAAAAATCTCTCTCTGAAAAAGAAAAAGGAACTCTTCCTAGCCAAAAAAAGAAGGAAAGAAGGGAACCAGCAGATGCGATAATGGCTACATTGCTAGACTCTGATGTAATTGACTACAGGATGCAGTTCGAGTCCCAGACCCAGTGACTTAAAACTCATGCTGGGTTATGTGTGTGTGCGTGCCTAAGATCTTGGGAAAAGACTGGAGGAGAAGGGTTTCTGGCATGGCCATCCACCTTGGTGGGGCGGTGAGGGTGATTTCTTGTTTTCTCTGTCTCTCTCTGTCTCTACTGTGAGTGCACGTGCCCTATAGCAAAAATAATCTCTTAAAAAAAAAAATAAAGAAGAGCCTCAGGCAGGTCCTTCAGGGGGTTTTCCAGAAGGCTTTGATGTCACAGGGATGACAACTCCCTGCTTTTATTACCAAAGACTTGTCAATGGGACAAGATATGGAAGTGGAAGAAAGTCCTAGTGATGATTCTAACCCTGTGTAAGCCTAGGTTAATGTGTGTGTTTGTTTCAGTTTTTAACAAAAAAGTTTAAAAAATCGAAAAGAATTAAAAATAGAAAAACATCTTATAGACTAAGGCTATAAGGACAAAAAATTTGTATACCTGTATAAAGTGTTGTGTTTTAAACTGTTATCACAATCCAGTCCAAATATTCAAATATAATTAAAACATTTACAAGGTAAAAAAGTTATAGTAAGTTCAGGGTAACTTATTATCATAGAAAGAAAAACAAATAAATGAAGTTAGTGTACCCTAAGTATACAGTGTTTATAAAGTCTGCAGTAGTGTATAGTAATGTCCTCAGCCTTCACATTCACTCTCCACTCCCTGACTCACTGAACCAGCTTCCACCCTGCCTGCCCCTGGTAAGTACCTTACACAGATGCACCATTTTTTCTTTTATATCGTATTTTTATAACAGGAACAATAAACAAAAAAGTTTAACCCTCTTCTTTTGCTTTACTATATTTTTCTTCTACTTTAAGGGTTAATTGGTAGTTGTAGAATAGCTTCTGTGTAACTAATGTAATCTGTAACTATGATAACAGAGGAAACTTAAGACACTTGTTTTAGACAATAGTCACAAAAATGTAACCAGGATAGGGATCAGGGTCTGGGAATGTTTATGCAGGGATACAATGTAATAAGTTAAATTGGGAAAACTGTAATAATGTTATCACTTAATAGTTGCTCAGGCATCTAGATTGTTTTGCTAAACATAGTTTAAGGAAAATATGTTATAGCTTTCCTTAATCTATCAAAGTATGTCACAACTTTGAGACAACAGATTCAGTGTCACCATAAGAACAGAAACAGGGTCATAAACAGTCACATGAAAGGAAAAGGAGCACAGAACAATTTGGGGAAAATCATGAGAGTAAGAGTAACACTGGAGTTGCTAAATTTATGTTATAGATAACAATGAGTAAACAGGAAGGGAAATACGGTATATAACGTGCTGGGAATTTCTGTGCTGGATGTTGGTTATGAGCTTGTTAGCTCTCGGCCGCCACCTGTGTTCAAATACAGCTAAATAAACTCCTTCCTCCCTCTTGGCTTTGTCTCTCAACTAGTCACAGAAGTGGCTGCTGGATTTTAGGTGGCAACAATTTTACTGTGCTTTTTCTATGCTTAGATACCCAAGTACTTCCCTTCATGTTACAGTTGCCCACGGTGTTCAGTACAGTAACGTGCTATACGGGTTTGTAGCCCGAAGGTGATAGGCTACGTCATAGAGCCTAGGTGCACATAGACTTTGTGTAAATTCTCTGTGATGTCTGCACCACGATAAAAGCTGTGCATTTCTTGAACCATGTCTTTGTTGCTAAGTGACGAATGCCTGTAATCGGGGTGGGACATGCCAATGGTTGGAGTGATAGTTCTGGAGGAGGAGAGCAGTCCGATTCTGGGTACATCGTGAAGATGGAACTGACAGCATTTGGTGATGATGGTTTGGATGTGGGATGTAAGAGGAAGGAGTCGAGGATGACTGCAGAGTGTTCCACCTGAGCCACTGGTAGGGAGCTCTCACACTGAGGTGGCCGACGCTGCTTCCGGCGGGGGTTGGATGTGTTCAGTCTAAGAACCCCAGTGGAGGACCAGCTGGAGAGGTCGTGTAGTTCAGTGCAGAGCACATGTGATCTGGACTTCAGGGGAGAGTTCAGGTTGCAGCTATACATTTGGGAACATGAGCGTAGAGATTTAAAATCCTGGGACTGGCAACCAGCTGGGGATGGAAGCAGAGAGAAATATTGGGTTGTTGGGAAAGTCATGACACATTTTTGCATAGAAAAACCTAGAAAAATACATCCCAATGACCTAATAGAAGTCAGGGGACTGAACCTGAGGGTTATCCACATTTAGAGTCAAGGAAGACGAAAAGGAAAGAGGAAGCACTTGGGGAGACTGAGAAACAAGAGAGAATATTCAACGGCCTCTGCTGTCACCACCACAAACAAACAAACAGTCTGAAACTAATTTTTATATGTAAATTCCAGACTTCATTTCTATCAACTCGCTTTCATAAGATAAATGTGTGGGTGAATTATCTCCCGGTGGATTCTGACTTCAAATTTTGTATTCTCAAAGTTAATTTGCAGCTTTCCAGCTTCAATTGGGAATTTAAAAAGTGTAATTAAAAGAGAAAATGCATTCAGGATTTATAATTAAAATAGGTGCCAATGTTATTAGGCTGCAGGCTAGTTATTTAAAGAAGGGATTAATGAATTAGGTTTCACTTGTAAAAGAAGTAACTGAAAAAGTCTTACACATTACTATTGGACTTTTCACAGGCCTTTAAAAAATTCTATATATTAACATTATAGTTACATTGAGATTCTGTTCTTATCATCAAATCTAAAGTCTCATTACGGACTCTCTTCAATTTATACCACCCAAAACCACTGCCCCCCTTCAATTACTCACCTTTCAATGGGTATAGGCAATAAAGAATATCTTTAAATAAAAAAAAAAAGTCTTAACACTTATCCATACTTTCTTTCAATGGAAACTATATGTGGTATATTGGTTTGAAAGTCTCTCAAAAGCAGATGCTGAGATGAACATTTGGGAGCAAGTGGCATACTGGGGAGGTGACGTCAGAAGTACAGTGAGCAAGGGGTAAGTTAGGAACAGAAGAGAGGGACCCAGAGAACATTAACGAGAAGGGCGCAACTGTGGACACGGGGGCTCCGAGAGACAGGCAGTACGGCGGGTCCCCTGTACTTGTTTTGTGTGCCCCAATCCTGACGGATAGAGAAATGGGAGAAAGGACTGCAGCATGACCACTCTTCACTGGAGGTGCTTTCTCTCTCCCTCGCTCTCTTTCTCTGAGGACTGCACATGCCTTCTGTCCATAATAATCTCGTCCTCTATTTTGTATTTCGACAGATATTACAATCATTTGACACAGGGAAACCTCTGAACAGTAAAGAAAATGTACAGGTATGTTTGCAAAATGTTATAAGCTGCAGATTTAGTGTGGATATTTTTGCGCCTTTGCGATCTGTTTAGTAGATACAATCTTTGTTTTTGAAAATCTGCTCTGTAAGATGATGTTCTGTGTTTAGTAATGAGATTTTTATCTCAAACCTCTGAGAGCATAGGGAGGATTGGATCTTACTGATCTGTTTTTCAGGTTGATCAAATATTGATAGTAGTTGCTGCTCCTAGTTCTCAATTACAGATGTGTATTCAGTCTGTCTGGTTGGGTCACGTGTCTCGAGCTTAGTAGCAATTTTGATCATGAGAAGAACTGTGTACATCCCACAATAACCCACGTGTTCAGGACTGCTTTTACTCATAGCTCTGTATCCCAGTTCTGAGATCATCTGTCAGCCAATGGCTTGGAATGTTTTCATTTGGCATTTTTACAAGCAGGTCCTCTGACTTCCTCAATATTTTCTAAAAAAAAAAAAAAGAGAGAGAGAGAGAGAGAATCAGATTGGTCATCTAAATATGTTCGTTTCTGTCCATAATGGAATACTTAAGATATAAGCATTTGATGACCTACTTCTATTTGAATATCGTAAAGCAGTGATTAAAAAATCTTAGGCATATTTACAACCTGTCTCCTTGAAAGTCTTTGAGAAGGCTCATAACCACAACCACTGGCAAAGGAGGTTATGGACAGGGAAGGAGCTGATATATTATTATAAAAAAAAAAAAAAAAGAGAGAGAGAGAGAGAGAATCAGATTGGTCATCTAAATATGTTCGTTTCTGTCCATAATGGAATACTTAAGATATAAGCATTTGATGACCTACTTCTATTTGAATATCGTAAAGCAGTGATTAAAAAATCTTAGGCATATTTACAACCTGTCTCCTTGAAAGTCTTTGAGAAGGCTCATAACCACAACCACTGGCAAAGGAGGTTATGGACAGGGAAGGAGCTGATATATCCAGGTGACAGTTAATACAAAAAGACAATCCTAGTTTTAATTTTAATTTGGAAATATTAGGAAAATAGCATTCTTTTTGGTTAAATAGGTATTTATTAAATAATTTTGAGAGACATTTCCTCCAAACTGCTTTATGTTTGTCTTCCATAATTTTGATAGGAATAAACCACCTTTTATTAAGTGTAATCTTACTGCTTTTCTACTCTTGTGCCTCTTACTCTACAAAGTTCACTTTTAATTATGATCATCGTTTTTGCCTAAAAATGTGTTTTAATTTATAAGCAGGTTCCTTGAAATGAAAGAACTGGTATAAGGAAGATTCATATAAGTACTCACTCTTCATTTTAGTATCCAAGACCTTGGGGGTGTTTAAGAATATTTATTTCTTTCCAGTCATAAATGCTAGGCAGGGCAGTCTAAAAATGATTCCTTAAGGAGTGGTTCTCAGTATAAAATGATTGTCTGATCATTTCTTTTTTATTCAAAAGGAGACTGACAGTCTAATGGAAACTTGATTTCTATTAGCTAATTAATTAAAACAGTACTGTTGGTTTGCCTAAGACTCTTCAGATTACACTTTATATTTTCTGCAGAAAGGGAGAGAAAGGAGTGTTAAATGGCATTACTAATTAATCTTCCCTGATCCTCAAGTGTTTGTGTATAATTGTCAAGGCTCATTAAATCACTGTTTGCTAGGGAGAGAAAAGAGAAGAGAACTTTTCTCTTCTCCTACCCCCCAACCATTTGGAAGTTTCTTCCCTAGAGAGGGAGGGTCAGCCATTTTTCTACTGCAATTTGGTAGCAGCTCAGGCTCAGTGGCTGCTCCCAGTATGGCTCTTCTGCGTATATTAAGTTCTGTCTCTTAGAGGAGGCTAAGACAAAAGTGAGGGACCAGCAGATAGCATAGTGGTTATGTGGCTGCACTCCCACATGGCAGGCCTGGACTCTGTGGTTTGAAAATCACTCTGAGCACATGTGCGTGTGTGCCCAAGATCTCAGGAGAAGAATGGAGGTAAAGAGATCGCAGTGTGGCCATCCCCACTGGGGCATGATTTCTCACTTTCCTTCTCATTGTCTCTGCCTCTCTCTGGTGAGCTCATGTGCCGCAAGGTAAAAACCTCTAAGAAAGAAAAGAGAATGAACAACAGCAAACCTCCCCACTGCCATCATAGCTTCAAACTCTTGCAAACAGTGGGATGTTTTCCGTTTACTTTAGAATAGTTAGCCCCAGTACCTGCTTTACATTTTAGTTTAAGACATATTATTAAGAACCTGTGATGTGCAAAACATTATTCTAATGCTGTCGGTTGACAATAGAGACAACTCCAAGACCCCATGGAGCTTGTTTATGTTTTAGTGGGCAAGACTACCAATAAACATCATACATAAATAAACAATATATATATAGGTAAATTGTATAGAATGTGAGGAGAGCCATGTTATGGGAGAAAATAAACGAAACAGTGAACAAAGGGGAATGGACGGAAGGGGCTGGGTTGGGGATTATACTGGGTCATTGGAAAAGTCATGACACATTTTTGCATTAAAAAAATAGGAAAATAAGTCATGACTTTTCCCAACAACCTAATAATTTTGAATGGAGACGACCAGGTTGTTCTTCAGTGAGGTGGCATTTGTAAACATGCCTGAAATGGATAAAGGCACAAGTCTATGGAATCTGGAAAAAGAACAATTTAGAAAGATGGAACAGCAAGCGCAGAGCCCCGAGGCAGGATCGCTTAGCTTGGTGAGGTGCGTCTTGGCCAGTATAGCTGGAGCTGTGTAAATGATAGGGCGTCTCTGAGGAGAAAGTCAGAGAGATCCAATTGAGAAGAGCCTTGTAGGGCCCTAGTCATTTAGGCTCTTATCTGAGCAAAATGGGGAGCCAAGGGAGAGTTTGGAGCAGAGGTATGGCCCGACTGTCTTACATTTTCTTAAAGAATTATTTAGTGTAATTTTTTAATTTGACCAAAGAGAGACAGAGGAGAGAAAGGCAAAGTGAGAAAACAAGCTGCTAGGTCTGGGCCTTGAACCGCGGTTGGCCAGGTGGGTGTCCAGTGCCTTAACCACCATGCCACCGGCTAGCTCCGTTGACTTCTTTTTGTTTGGGTGGGGGGAGAGGTTTTTGCTATAGGGCGTGTGTGCTTACCAGAAAGACAGAGAGAGAGAGAGAGAGAGAGAGAGAGAGAGAGAGAGA